ATCACAGTGTTGTATAAGATTTACAAGGTCAATCACCTGATGAAATGGACARCCCTTATTGGAGTAATAGCTCATGCATTATTAATAATTTATAAATAGTACTTACCAAATTTCGTTCTTACTTAACAGGCGCTGACTTCTGGGATAAAAATGCCCTTAAAATATATGCAGTCAAAGAGCAAGTTAATGAGAGATTGAAAGACCAGAGGTTAAGAATGCAGGGTAGAAGCGCTAGCAGGAAGACAAAAAGGAGCAAGGTCGAAAATGAAGACCTAGACAAACTGGATGACCTCGAGAAGGAAATAAAGATTAACAGAGAAATGCATACCAAACTCAAAGAAGTTACACGCATCGTCAAAGAGGCATTCAAGTGTGGTATATGTCTGGCCACAATAWGTGGAGGCGTGTATTATCATGGATGTTGCGGCCGAATGGCTGCATGTAAGTCCTGTGCTGATGAATGGCACAGGACACATCCTGAATGCCTGCACTGCAGAGATGAGGATGGGTGTGKGATGAGATCTGCAGTCAAAGGACTGGAGTCCTTTTTTTCATACATACAAGACCTTTAGGTATCTACCTTTAGCTATGTTTTAGACCATTGTCTTTCATGACTATAATTATGTTACCTTAGTTTCATTAGTTACAATCAGATGATACCACACACAATATGAGGTAGTCTTGTATGYCCATCATTGAATGCTTGACATTCTGAAAAAAAACATAAAAAAGACTGAAAACTAGCTGACTGATGAACAGCTTTAACCAGTTACACTTGMTTACAACATACCTTAAAGTGCATACTTATGACATGATTTTTTGTTTGTTTTGAAAATAAAATCAATATGAAGAAAATAATAGTTCTAAATAATAGTGCCACTGGATGCACAGGCTTCTAAAAATGAATTTTATGCTAATTTGATGACGTCAAAGTGTATAACTTATTGATTATACAAAATTGTCCAATTGTTTAAATTGTCACCTTATTGTTTTGTAGAAGATATGTTATGTAATCAAAAACAATCTTTCACAGTTTGGCATGTGTAAACTTAGGAACACTTGTTACAAAACACAGTTGAAATGTTTTAGAGTAACCTCAATGACGTCATCAAATTAGCATAATGTATTTCTCTGATTGATTTTCTCTGAAATTTGAAGCCTGTATCCAGTGGTAATTAGCCAACCTGTTATTCTTGTTCTATTGACTCAGTCTATTTTTTAAATAAAAAAATTGTGTCATATGCACTTTAAGATAAAAGAGAAGGCTAGGCAAATTGTCCAAACATTTATAGCAAGGCTCACTTAACTTGGTGATCACTGACACAATATAATGGATTTGAAATCCTTGATAATAATKCTACTCTAGTAGTAGTCCTTTCAAAGTTATAATGATGCTAGTATGCATGAGGTAGTCTTCATTCTGCTTCATCAGAAACAAAAAAGAAAAATACAACAACATAAAAACAGGCTTTTAAATTTGTTTTACCTTGGCAAGCTACAGACATGACTGAACTTGTTCTATTTTTTCAAAACATCTACTTGAATGTTTTTTAAAAAAWTATTATCTATAAACAAGCAATAAAATAGACAGTTCTGTGATATTTAGTTATAAAATTAAAGATAGGTCGATTTTATTGCTTAAGGCAATTGTAGGTTTATATTAAGTGGTTATTTTATGTCACCAGCAACTTTCTTGAAGAGCTTGTCTCCCTTTACTCTATTAGTTGATTATAAATAACATGACTGSTTACTGGTTGTTATGAAGAGTCATACATACAGTTACGTTGTTTTAGTAAAAGATAATTATAAGCTATGGAATCCCATAGATATGAGGATCAAAGTTTCTATGGGTTTTGAGTTTACAAGTAAAATCCCTATCATTGAGTTTGTGAAATGACAATATAAACATGAAATTTTTTAAGTACCAATATTCTCAAGTGACTTTTTCGGTAGAATTTTTGAAATAYTTGCTTAATTCTACCGAGGTTGTAGGAAATGTTTTTAACATTTTATAATTTTTTACCGTCTCCAAAATATACTGGTATGACTTTAGTTCAATCCTGGAAGACCCTACCAGAAAGGACTAAAACGACAATGTTTAAACTTTTCACGATTTAATACTATTAGTCCGGGAGCTAGAGCTCAGAAAGTCATTAATTAAGGAGTTCGTTCAACCCATGCCACAGAAACGGTTTGACAACGGATTTTGATAGATTGAACCTTTGTGATTAAGGCTAGGTACGTTGTAGAGTCAGAATGTGGTATCAATCTCGAGATAAGGGGATGGTTTTGCAACCAGTCGGAAGTTCAACACGAAAACGAGGCAATATTGAATATCATTCTAAACGAGCTCTAAACTTGATTTTATACTCACAAAATTGACTAGTCTTACAAGTGAAACAATAAGTATTACACTCCAATTAATCTCCAATTTGGAATGACTCTGGTYAATTTTAAAATTTTCATAAAAAATAGAAACAGTTTGCTTTCATTCCTTTCTCTAGAATTGATTCTAAAATTAAATGCGTTGTTAATGAACTCGTTTCATCTTAGTAAAGCTACTAATATCAATAAATATAAAAAGATAAATAAAAATGTAAAATAAAAGAAAATGCAAATATGACTGGCAGCCTCGTTGCCATGGGAACCTAAGGGAATCCAAGATGGCGAACTTACTAGACAGGATTTGTCCATCTATTGTAAAGCCAAACTGATCACGTGCAAGTATCCAGAGGAATTTAC